ACATTTTATAACTCAAGAATGACTGTACGGATATGATTGAAAATTGGTGGAGAGATAGATTAGAACAAAGAAAGGACATAGGATATTTAATTCTGTTCGATCGAAACAAAAATAATAATAAATTCCAATATCTTGTTATTTACGCCTCTATGTCGGAATACAGTTCGCCCGGTCAGATATACATATATTACTAATGACGAAATTAACGCGGACGAAGTCGCGGGCAAAAACTAGTTTCTTATAAATACAACTTCATCAAACGATGAATACTTGAAATAAGTAAAAGATTTTACTTAAATTCTGCATTATTCGTAAGAATTTTCATTCCAACTATATTTTTTTTCTTACTGCAATTAACTAGAAATCTTTATAGCAATTTTTACATCATGATTTATAAAATAATAATAGGAATTCTAGTCTTTTGTAAGAATTTATATCTTTAGACGAGATTAACAAGCTTGTTAGATGATAAAAGTAATATAATTTTTGAAATAATTGGTAGTAGTAATAAAATATCTTAATCTATATATATATATATATATATATATATATATATATATATATATATATATATATATATATATATATATATATATATATATATAAATGAATTGCTGTTCGTTAGTCGATGTAAAAGTCGAGAAAGTATTTATCTTATCATAGTCTTGAAATGTTCGTGGAGGTTCAGGGAAGGTTTGAAAGCTGAAAAAAATTGATTCATTTCCGGGAAAACTCTAAACTACTACACTAACTAATATGTCAATCATTCTGTTCGATTGAAACAGGACAAATTTTAATAAATACCAATACATGGTTATTCAAGACGGAATAGAGTTCGCCCGGTCAGCTATACATATGTATATTACTAATGACGAAATTAACGCGGACGAAGTCGCGGGCAAAAACTAGTAATTAAATAAAATATGATCCAAAATACTTGTATGTAATATTATATATAGATTTATTAAAAATATTATAATCTTAGACTATTAAATTACAAGTCTCTATTAAATAAAAATTCAAAATGAAAACTTAAAGCTCCAATAAATTCTTAAATATCTGTTAACTTTGTGTGTAGGTGACAACAGAAATAGGAGTAAACATTATGAAGGTGAAAACTACGAAACTTACTTATATGTATATTATAATAAGAATTACATATTAAAACTTATAACCTACACCTAAGACTACATGATTGTCCCGAAGTTATGATAGCAATACCATTCCATAGCTTGTGTGTATCAGGAATCTTCCGGTTCACACGGCAAAACATTACTTTCATTTAAACCTCTAAATATTTATATTTTATGAGTAAAATTATTATTGCATATTCGGTTTTTTACTTTATTTGCTTTAATTCACTCCTCTTAATTTTTCCTTACTTACTTTCCAACCAACAATCTAGTAACAATAAACAAATAAATTTAATTAAAACGTTATTTTATATAAAGCGTTTGTTTAAAAAAACAAAATAAGTCAATGAGAGTGAAGTTAACGTTAGCGGAGTTTCTGATTTATAGGGAAGGTGAAAAATAAACACAATTATGCGCGGAAATCATTTCCCCAGCGCTATCAATCAGTGGGATGTATCGACTTGACTGAGTTTAATAATGTATCGGTGTTTTCTCAATAAAATTACACATACTCTGCGAATTATTTGATCATTTTTAAATACTGAAAAGGTTGCTGAAAAACTAAATGAACATCGCCGGGGTAACATCGTTGTATATATAAAATATATAACGAGTGACGCCGCTGACTCCGCGGAACGAACACCAAGCCGTGTGAACCAGAAGATTCCTGATACACACAAGCTATGGAATGGTATTGCTATCATAACATCGGGTCAATCATGTAGTCTTAGGTGTAGGTTATAAGTTTTAATATGTATTTCTTATTATAATACACATATAGGTAAGTTTCGTAGTTTTCCTGGAACCACTAGTTGCCATCCTATATAATTAGGTGTAAAATTATTGCGTTTTCAATAAGTATATCAAGTTAAGTTGTCATAATTAACATTTTTTACATAATTAAACAAAGTTTTATATACTAATAAGACTGTATTTTCGATCGAGGCCGGGATAATAGTGATGTATCTTTAAAATATGATGTTATGTGTAAGTTTTTGGCTCCAAGCAACCATCGTTTTAACATGGGAACCAAGAGATTACTTCTAATAAATTAAAATGACTTAAATAATTATATTATTATTAGTCCGCCTCTCGTGCATGAGCACACTGTAAACTAACTATTATTATCTATCACTTAGATATCAAAATAAGTTTTAAATGTCTCCTAGCGCCACCTAGTTGACTCATTAGTACAACTTATATATAAAATTCTCGTGTCGCGGTATTTGACAGAGAACACCTCCGAAACGGATGGACCGATTTTTATTAAATTTTGTAAGCATATTGCGTATTTTGCCGGGTCAGCTAGTATATACATATATTTGTCACCATTGTGTCAACTGTCAATAAAATTATTGAAAATATCCAACGTATTGTATATTGAAAATATTCAATAATTGCTAATGGCATTAATTCAGTTCAGGGTCCTTTGAAAATCTTGATCTATCAAAGATTTGTTGAGCAATTGCAATTTTAGATGTGAATGTATCTAAAAATTCATACAATTTTCTGTAGTCAAATTTATGAATAACAAAAGAAAAGCTGTCAAATATATTGATGTAATCTAAGATTTAAGTTAAATTTTGATTAAAATTAAAGTATCAGTATTTATTTAAAGAGAATTTTCATCTCGTCTGCCCATGATCACGGATGCTGTAATCGAAACGTCGAGTATTATGTAAAATAATACAATATTTGCAAATACATTTACAACTTTTGTTATTTTAATAGAAATCTCTGCCAAATTATTTTATCTTTACTTTTGAGTGATTTAAATGAATTTGTCGATAATTATAAATCCCAACAAAACTACCAACACGAAGCATATAGGTAATTAAAATTGTAAGTCATTTTAATATTTCGTTGGTAAAAACTTAGGTATGTACTTTTATTTCTTTAGCGTTATGATTAAAACGATCTTTTAGAATAATCTTTATTCAAATAAACAAATGAATATGTTGTTGGTTAAGAGTACTTCATTGTGAATTAAAGAAAAACATAGGTTTTATCCTGAAAACTCTACGGGAACTCGACCATTCCGAAAATCGCGCAAGAACGGGAACTATGTGGGAAGAACCAAAAATCTGCCGGAAGTCACTATTCCATGCGGACGAAGTCGCGGCAAAAGCTAGTCTTTGAAGCCTTCCGTTGCGTGCGCCGTGAAAACGGTTCAAGATACACAAAAAATATGTATTAAAGAATAATAGCTCTTTTAATGATCTAAAAAACAGTCCGCGACAGTATATGCCTATCTTTTAAGATCAACTCACAAAAACAGTTTTTATGGTACCTAATTTGGTCGAAATAATTTGTTTAAGTTGTATCAACATAATAATTTAATATATATGGTTTTGATTTTAAACAATAAACCTTTACAAATGCAAGTCAGAGTTTAAAAGAAATCAGCACGGCACGGAAATAGAAGAAGAAAAAAATCAATTTGCATTCAGTCGCCGACGTCGAAGGCCCTGTATTGATTAATCATAATTAAACGAAGGCAGATTTAAGCTAAGCTAATTTACATTCCTAACTTCAGTCTTCCCTAATTCAAACTAATACTTTGCATTTTATAAATATTTATTTCTAACGCTCAGTCGTGGTGGCCTAGCGGATAAAAAGCCTGCCTCTCGTGTATGCTGGCGCGGGTTCGATTCTGGCAAGTAGTAATGTGATTTATCAGATACATATGTACTTTCTAAGAGTATTTAGACATCACTGACAGATGAAGGAAAACATCGTGTGGAAACCATGACTTATAATTTCAAATTATAAGTTTGAAATCGCCAACCCATCTTGAGCAAGCGTGGTGATTAATTCTCAAACCTTCTCCATGTGAGAAGAGGCCTTACAGCAGTGGGCTCTGATAGACTGATGATGATTTGTAATGCTTACAAAATATATTTTTCGGCTAAGCCTGTGTGGTTGTTTAATATTTCTCTAGGCGGTCGTTTGTTATGATTGAAAAGGAAAAAGCTCTTTGAGTTAAGACAGAGAGTTATATATAAAGGTGCTACAATTTCTGGAAATGTTTTAAGAGTAAAGATTACTTTTTTATAATGAATTTACTTAATATTAAATCCTCTTAATAAAGTTAAATAATAGTAGGTAATTTTAAAAATATATTGCGACACCTAGACGTTAAGATAAAATCTTTTCTAGAATCCTTTTTATGAATAAAATGAATTATTATTGCTCACTACAAATGAATCATTGCAGAACACTGGTTTATAAAATTGGAGGACCTTATCGCGTAATAACTATGTATCTTGTTCAAACCTTTTATCTTGACAGAATTGTATAAAGTGAACATACGAGTATGTACTTGTTCGTGCTATTATTAAGTGTAATTTTTTTGACAAATACTATTGAATTTTACCAAAAAAAAAGGGATAAATTTATTTATTTAATGTTATTAAAGTGATATTAGTCAGTGGTGGCCTAGTGGTTATAGGGCCCGCCTCTGGTTGCCGAGGGCGCGGGTTCAAACCTGGTAAGTACCAATGTGATTTTTCGGAGTCATATGTACTATATAAGAGTATTTAGACACCAATGACATATGGTGAAGGAAAAAATCGTGAGGAAACCTGGACTTATAGTTACACAATTATAAGTTTGAAATCACCAACCCGTCTTGAGCGAGCGTGGTGATTAATGCTCAAATCTTCTCCATGTGAGAAGAGGCCTTACAGCAGTGGGCTCTGATAGGCTGATGACTAAGTGATATTTTTGGAGATGATATTCATTATATATAAGCAGGAATATTTACTGCATTGATTTAAAACGAAAAAATATATATGAACATCAAAAAATTTATAAAATTAGACTCATAAAAGGAATGATTTCTTCAAGATTTTCGTAAGTACTAACCTCATTGAACCTCCTAATTAAAGATCTGACGTTGCTCCTAGATTGAGGAGTGTGGGTTGGAGGTGCTCGACGTATCATGTGTCGGTCGCTGACAGATCCAAGTATTCCTTCACCTCCCAAGTCCAGGGTAACCTGGCGTAGGTAGTCGATTGGTGGCACCTGGAAAAATAATAATTTTAATCACACAGAAATGAAGAGGGAAGAATTATTGAGGGCATTATAGAGATATCTTTGTAAATCTTCATAAGAAGCGTAGATCTTCAAAAGTTTAGGAGCATTATCTCTTGATCCAAATAAAGTATGTAGTTTTAAAATAATAAAATAACCGTAGTAATCCGAATAATATTAGTTTCATTTAAATGAATACTTAAGTCATAGATATCATTATACTTTTTGATCCATTATGTTAGTTTAAAGTAAGAACTTTTAATATTTTAAAATAATGCATTCATACTATTGTATACATTTAGCTCTATCGTATATTAAATAATCAAAACTTTCATTAAACTCAAAATTATGAAAGAGTGGAAAAATACTATTTCTTACGAGATTTTTTTTTATTAAAACATGTAATAATTGTAGCAACTAGGTACTTACTATATTTACTTTGTTGTTTAAATATTAACACGTGAACTTAATAATAATTAACAAAGCCTTCAGAAACTATATGTATACATATAAACGTAATTTTAATTCCCATTCCGAGAACCCTGCAAAGCCTTTTACGAACTGATTCTATTATTTCTATGAATAGATTCATAGAGTGGAACTTCTAACAAATTGATTGGGATGCAATATACCGGGAAAGCTGATTTTCGTCTCAAGTAAGAAACAATAACCTACTTAAGTTACCCCCAAAAACGATGTACGTGTGACCCCGAGGTCAAAGGTCGCGCATGGTACATTAGCGAGATAACTCCATCTCAGTAAGGTCATTAGGGTTGTGCGGTCCTCAATTGTGGTTGATAGTGATGGGTAGATGAATCGATATATTTTTAATAAATATTTTTTTTTGATCTTTCGACATCATACTTTATTTTAAACGTCGCATATGTCTATAAAAAATGTCTTTGGCTACCATATTTACTTTTAAAAGGATGTTATTGTTAAGTAGTATTTACCCTAATTAAAAGAAGAGCTAAGCTAAGCACACTAAGACCAGGAAAACTCTTTTTACGAGCCGTTCTACCAGCCTTTAGGGGGAGCTCATAGAGACCAAGGTTATGGTAAAATTATCAAAATATTTCGATCAAAAATCTATTTGTTAACTAGTTAAATAGGATTTAAATCAGCAAATATTTTTTTGTTTTAGTTTTAGGACCCAGTCAACAATTTTCCATCACGGTATTCTTCACCAAAAAAGCAATAGAAATAAAAAATTAGTTTATAATCATAACAAATATACTATACAATAATGTATACAAAGATTTTTATGTAGCCAATTTGAAAACGAATAACGTCGAACTCAAACGGAATCTCAATTGGATTTACAAAGAGTACTTTAAATAAAGCCTTTTTGTAGTTGGAAAATAGATGAGGTATGTTATAACAAACAGACCTTTATAACCAGGGAGGGCAAAAAATAAATCACGCCACCTAAATATTATGTTACATTAATGAAGAAAATCCTGCTGAAATTGTTCTTCATTTTTTATTACATTTTTCTCTCAGTTTAACTTCCTTCTTCCGTGATTAGACATGGGGCTTGTAGCCTCATTACTTGTGAGTTTTATTGTGTAAGAAATACACAGAAATAATATATATATACTAGCTTTCCGCCCGCAGCTTCACCCGCGTGGAGTTCGGTTATATCGCGTTTCCAAGAGAACCTTTTAAAAGTCTGGGATAAAAACTATCCTATGTTCTTTCTTAAGGTCAACTCTATCTCTGTACCAAATTTCATTAAAAGCAGGTCAGTGGTGTAGGCGTGAAAGCGTAACAGACAGACAGACAGAGTTACTTTCGCATTTATAATAAGAAGGGAAGTAGGGATATACATATACATATATATATATATATATATATGTATATGTATATATATTCCGAAGAATTAATCACAAGAAATAAACCTATAAAAAGTATAATTTTTTAGTGAGAATTTACCTGCCGGAATTTCACAAGTTTCTCTTAAAGAATGTATAAACATTGATTAATATTTAATTTTAAATTATAAATAGCACTGGTTAATACATATGTATGTACTTAGAAGACTTAATTAATAGAATTATTGGATAATACAGCTCTTATCTAGGAATTTTCATCCTATATTTCCAATTTTATTCGAGCCTTCAGTGTGATGGTATTAAAATATATCGCATTATTTTATTGAAGGGTTTAAAAACTATTGTTTTACTAGATCTAATAAGAAACGAAAACAATGTTTTTTAGTTTGTCTTTTTGAAAAGATACTGAAAATCTAAAACCTATATACATATGTTTATATATACCAATAGATCTTCTTCTACCTGGCAATTTACCCAGCTTTAGCCAGGGTCTGCCTTAAATGTAGTGAATAGTTTTGGCTAATTGTTTTTATGACCGGCCGCCTACCTGACTTCCACCCTTATTGGGAATGCATTAATCAGTGATGAGTATATACTCTTAGAAAGTACATATGACTCCGAAAAATGACATTAGTACTTGCTAGAGCTAGGGTCGAACCCGCGTCCTCGAGCATAAGAGGCGGGCCTTTCAACCACTAGGCCACCACTGACTAACAATTAATGTCTATTTAAGATAAATATTCCTAATAAAATCCTAAGAAATGGATTTCACTTAAAGCGAATATGATAGAAGCAAGCGTGTTATTTCATTGCTAGTAACTTTTATGAAATTGATATCGAATTTTATAAATAAAATTCGCATCACTGGCTCGTGGATGCCGAGGTGTTATCAAGATATCGTTTGGTCGACACTCTATGTTTAATATGTGTTTGATAAGAAAAGTAACACATAGGCTTTGAATCTACATTATGAATAAGGTATAATTTTGCGTCTGAAATAGATATGTACGAGGTATATGTGAAAGAAAAATTTGTATATTTTGTCAGTACTAATGTGTTTACTCAGCAATTTAAGAATAATTTTTCTTAAGTCCAAATATAGTTTTTATATTTTACATATATAGTTTTTGCCCGCGACTTCGTTTGCGTTAATTACAAAATTAGAAATGTATTGTATTGTATCGAACTTTGTTTCTCCTTACAGGCAGAAAATAAGATTTTGGATTTTATCAATTTTTTTTCAATCGCATAAACTACCCTATGTCCTTTTGCTGATTCTAAAATATCTCTAAGTTTTCAGCATCTGTAAAACCGTTCTTGAGCTATAAATAGTGTAATTAACAACACTTTCTTTTATATACATATTTACGTATCTTATTGTTTTAATATATTTAGAAATGTAGTAGTAGACTACTAACCCTTAAAATTCCAAAGATCGAGTTATATATTACCTCAAGACAGAGGTAGGAGCTATTTATAAGAAATGCTTTCCACTTTAAAGAAACTGCAGTCAAGACCTAGTTTTGTTATGTTTATAGCCCATCCACTTGTGCAACCTAAATATAAAATTTGATACTAACTAATCTATTATTTGGTTATAAATAATCACTTAAAGAAGTATAGAAAAGATTCACATAGATTCGTTCGATATCTTTTTCGTAATAGTTCAAAAATACAGACATACATTGTCACCATTTATTTAAAATATAAAAAAGTGATTGATCTCATGAGTAGTAAAGAATTTCGTGAGTACTCATTTCAATATAAATAATATTTTTGGATGTAGTACGTGTTTTTTTTATTATTTTATACTACATATTCTCGACGTTTCGGTTACTTTACAACCGTGATCATTAAGACGAGATGTGTCAATCAATTGTTATAAACCATAGACAGCTGAAAGTATTAGTTTTATTTAAATGAATACTCGCGAAAATCTTTGATATCATCTCATAAAGTTAATTAAATGAAACTTAATTCAATTTTACTTATCACACACACACACACACACACACACACACACACACACACACACACACACACACACACACACACACACACACACACACACATACAGACACACACACACACTGACACGTAAACTATATTATAATTAATAAAAATTATGAACGCATATCTACAATGGAATTTACAACGAAAATTGATGACGTAGATAATTTTAAAAAAAATAATAGTTTTTTTATATTTAATGTACAATTTTTTATTATTGTTTACGTCTATCCTTCATATATGTATATTATAAAGGGAAATATGTACATATATGAGGTTAAACTAAATAATATAAAACAGGGACAGGCTAAAAGCCACACCTATATAATTTGAAGCCTGAAAACATCAACGGAACAAAAACAATACTCCCAGAGAGTAAAGTTTCAAATGCTGGTGGTGAATTTAAAACCTGCATAGAAAACTTTTTAAATGAATTTTATTTTACATAAAAAAAAAATGAATACTCATAATATATAGAATTGTTAAATGAAACAAATGTAATGAGATCTAAGACTCACTAGTTTTATTCATTTAAATGAAACAAAAATAAACCGCGTAGTATAACCGAAAAAATATTAGTTTCATTTAAAACGAATCTTTTCGATTATTGTAAAGTAATAAAAACGCCAGGAGTATTTACTTTAAAATAATAAAAAACGTATAGGAATCCGAAAATATTAAGTTTCATTTAAACATTATGAAAATTCTCCAATACTTATTCGAGAGACAATAAATAAATAATTACGTGTAAAAATTCCATAGAAACTTTTCTATATTTTTTATAAATACCTTGTTTTTCTTTTAAGGAAAAACAGATGCTTATTATATTTCTAATGTAGCCACGACAAACTGACGGTGGATTTCATTAAGGGCTCTCACAAACGAGTCGATTTATTTCAATTAATTTTTTGTTTTATTTATGATAGGCCATTAAGAGCTATGCGTTCTATGCAATTGTTTTTCTGAGTTTAATTGTTTAAATTTTATTAATGAATCTATAATATTAATTTTGTTGCTTTTGTTCAAATACGTTTTGATCAAAAAGGTTACTGATATTTATTTTTCTATATAAAGATATAAATATAATATTTTGTTCAGAATGTTTGTCTACATAAGATCTAAAACTTTCGATACTCGACGTAGGACGACGAGAATATAGTTTTAAAATAATAAAATACATAATAATCCAAAAATATTAGTTTAATTTCTTGGTCTATGTTAAAAAATAAAATAAAAGAGAGACGAAACTTCTCAGCATTCCATGGATTCACCGTGCGGGTGCCGGGTCCATCGCGTTGCAGGGAGAGGAGCTTCAACAGTGCCTGGGACTTGCGACCCAGGTGTAGGTTTAAGGGGCCCCTTAACTAACGCGCGTTATACGATCACCTCCACTGTCCAAGCTCCTCTCCCTACCTAACCAAATTTGAAAAGAACCTACTAGGGCTGCCTTCGATGTACGTTCCAAGAATGCATTAATGTGAGTTCAGCTTATAATTATAAGCTTTATAATTTGTTATGAACTTTAAACGCTCGTATGTAAGCTGCCTTATCTTATTTCAGGCTAATATCACACTAACCCGAGGCAACATTGCTTACTGGATTACATCAAAGCCTTCGCGAATACCTACCACATAACGAACCATGTTTTATTAGAATCGAGAAAACATGAAATGTTATAAAAAAACTTATGAAGTTATGTTAAGAATTGTTTCTAAATTATAACTTAAATTACATAGATTTTTTACCTGTTATTCAATGTTTTTTCCTACTTATACATAATAATAAACTACCTATTATGTAAGTCATAGGTAGTCTAGTGGTTAAAAGGCTCGCCTCTCATGCATGAGGGCGCGGGTTCGATCCTGGCCCGGGCAAGTATCAATGTGATTATTCCGAGTCATATGTACTTTCTAAGAGTATTTAGACATCACTGGTTAATGCATTCGCAAAGAGGGTTGATGTCAGGCAGGCGGCTGGTCGTAAAAACAAATAGCCAAAATTATTCACAACATGTATCTAGGCAGACCCTGGCTAGAACTGGGAAATTGCTAGGTAGAAGAAGAATCAACTATCTACTATACGTACCTCAAGTTTCTTTCGTCACAAAATACGAAGCATTGACAGTTTTGCATTTACAAAATTTTAACGCATTATAGTATGTAGGTAAACAATGGAAACGAAAGACTTCGTAATTTTTACGTAGGTGCAAATTTATGCTAAGCATATTGGTGATTTATAAATAGACTCACAATAAAATATTTGTAGACTAATTCTTACAAACTCTTGATATATACACATTTTTTCATAGCAAAAGTGGAGACGGCCTACCTGATGGAAGGTAGTAACCGTCGCCCATGGACATCTGTACCATAAGAGATGTTGCTAGAGCGTTGCCAATATTGTTGAGGAAGGAAAGGAAAGGGAGGGAAAGAGACAGAGCAACCGTCTCTCTCACTCATCAGACGAAATGCAGTCATTAAAGACTACTAATTTAAAAGTACTATTTTAAAATCTTCTTTAAATATTCCAAGCAAATAAACGCTAAAAAGTGTGTTTCATAAGTGTACCTAGTTGCAGTTTTTTTTACAAAAAATTAAAAGTTACAAGGGACGCTATCTGATACACATTGCGTTTTTTTGGTTATTTTGTGAAGTTATGTTAAATATTCTGCTCATAATTAGACAAAGCCAGCTCACCTGGCGCTGTGATTGTATAATTTATTAATAAAAATTCATGATGAATATTTAAATTCCAGGTATTTTAGGTAGTAGGGATAAACAAGGGCAGCGGGTTAAAAGTTATACATATACATATATCGGCGCTATCAGCTTTAATAACGGATGCGACGTGAAAATAACTTGAGGCTGTCATCAATTATTATTAAAACTCATTAGTATTCATGATTATTGTTAAAAGTAAATCGAAATCAAAGATTGTTTAAAAGGAGAATATAACTATATTTAAATCTTGGTATAAATATGACGTCTGGACGCACGACGTCAGAGTTCAGTGAGTGCGGACCATTGAAGAATGTGATTATGAAGAACCTTCGAGAAATATAGGAACATTAAGAACAATTGAAGTTTCATTTTAATTTTAAAACTGATATTTATCAGGGAAAGAAGTGACATTAGTGACGTCAGTGATGAAGGAGTCACTTTCTTAAAAAACAACGAATTTCTAATAAATCCGATATATACTTTTAGCTTGACAACATTACATGTAGAAAATGATTAAAAATAGAGGAGTTTGACTTACTGTTTCCATTGATAATGATCATATCAAAATTTTTGCTTTTATTTGCTTGGAAATTAAGTATTTTGTTTGCCTAATTCGATGAAAATATTTGGAAAACAAAACGTCATTCTTCAAGCAAGCAAAGAATTGAACGTGAGTTATAATTTAAATTTAAACTATGTTTTATTCATTGTAGAAATATGTTCTTGAAACAAATATACGTAAATGAATTCACAGATACATTTTAACTCCTATTTAGAATGCTCTTGAAACTGTTATAAAAAGTCAAAACAGATTTTTAAAAAGATTATAATTTAGGTACAAATTATAAGACAAATGTAATAAAACAAATTTAATTTTGCCAACTAGCCACAGAAAGTTTCACCAAATGTAATTAAGGGCTGACTACAATGAGTTTAAATATTTTAGGGCCAGCCCTGAGGCTTTCGCTTAATACATTCTTGTTTTCAAATAATATTAACGGAAAAGTCAAACATCTGTCCCTTTTTAACTTAAGAGGAAAATAGAGATGGAGGATTATATTTGTGCAATTAGTTTTACACCTTATGCCATTGGTATAGAGTGCTTTAATTGATGGCTGACTTTAACTTATGCTGTATGGTAATATAAACTTTAAGTGGTTGTGTTAGGGTGTATATTACATTGTGCAAATGTTCATGGATGCTTTTTGAGTTATAATTCTTTTGCTGTGCTAATTTAATTACATTTCGAGATGAATGGGGATGAGATTAAGTAATTAGGGCGTGATAATATCTCATTGGGAATAATAGCTCTCGGTTTTGTACTGTATAAAGTTTTTGGTAGTTTGAACACCATGTATATGAGCTAAGTATTAATTATATACTAATTTTATTATGCTTGGCGAAGACGAAAGAGATTATAGAAGATATTTTTTTGATACTTATAATATTATTTACAAAAATTGGAGGTGATTTTCTCATCATTAAAACATCTATAGTCTTTTTTGGAGTTAGATAGATATAGATGTCCATCTAAAGAAATAATGTATCTACATTTATCTATGTAGAATGCTAAAATTGTTAATTAGCAATTATATTCTTTACTATAAATTATCTCACCGTAGTTAGAAGTTAACTGATGTAAAATTAACTTGAATTAAATAGCAATTTAGTTTTAATGGAATGTTAATTTAAGACCAGGAATTACGTTCTTCCTTGTTTCTATAAAAAGAGAATAATAAAGTCTTTTATCTGAAATGTTAAGTGGAAAATCATGAGTTATAAATTCAGTATTATTATTTTAATTACCATTGTATTTACAGATTTACATAACGTAGGTCGTACATTATTACATATTTTTTTATTCTAAAGGGGGCAACCGCGCAGACGGTTTACCTAATGGAGGTAGTACCGTGGCCCATAGACATCCATAATATGAGATGTTGTGAATATATCACCACCCTTGTTTGGGGGAAATAGGAGAAAAAAATAGGCAATGGAGGGAAAAGGGAAGGGTTATGGTAGGACGGGAAAAGAGAAAAGGCAATCGTCTAAGTTAAATTTATTGAGAGTTGTTTTTGGTTTTCCATGGACGTGCCCAACAAGGGCAACAATATTTTATACAATAAAATTAATATAGTGATATGCAAATCACTCAAAAAAATTGATAGATAACATTTTTTTTTCCTAAAAAACTTTTCTTCCTCTTAATTTATAATGCAAGCTTCTCCATTTTAAGAATATTATTATAATAAGAACCCTTAAATGAATTTCCATATTTTTACTATATCTATGTAAAAACCGCTTTAAAACCTGAATTTCCAACATTAAACCGAAATACTGAAAGCTATTCAAACATTCTACGTCCAGGAGCTGAACTCGTTAAGTAAACACTAAGTTGGAGTAACTTAACTTAGTGCCAGATGTTGATGCTAAGTTAGGATAATATTTCGTACCTTTCCAACTGAGTGAACACAAAAGTGAGTTATGTTTTTCTCTCTGTATTTAAATATGTGTATTACAGTAGCTATGTGTATGTGATGGATTTTGCTTCTATTTCAAACGGGTTTACAAATAGTCTTTGACCAATGATTGTGACTGTAAAGAATTTTCTAACTGATTCAAAATATTTTGGGACGAAATTTGATGAAACGTATTTTATTGATGCATCCAAAGTTACCCATTTTATGCTTTGTGTCCTTATTTAATTTATTTTTATTTTATATGCATTATGATTTAAAATATCAATTTATTGTGAGAAGTGAGAGGTCATTCAGCTACGGAGATCATCTCGCCAACGGAATGTACGATCGACCAGAAGTTTTATGTTTGACAGACCAGTTATATGGGGTGGGTTTATAAAAACTATTATATCGGACCAATAATATCTATTTTAGGGCCTTTAATTTAAACACTAGGGTTTCGTTTCACATAACTTGCAACGAGAGTTTTTTTTTGAAAGTCAGAATAATCGAAAAAGACCAAAATAAGCAAAGGTGCCTATCCTAGTATTTGAACACCTGCCTTATTTAGTGGACAAGAAAATATGCTCAAAATCACTCATAATGATATAAAGATATCATAGACTAAAAGATAAACATAATAATGTACCACTAATATGGGTAAGTGAGTTACTGAATTTAAAACTAATAATATTTATTTTTTACTCTTCAGTCATAGAGGTAAACTGATTTTACATTGTATTACTATGACGAAATTAACGCGGACGAAGTTACGGACAAAAACTAGTTGTTAATAAATGAACACTATTCTTTCTTTATAAATAATAATGAGAAAGAATATAACTTCTTATTATAAATTTCAGTGATAGATTACCGTACATCTTTAAATGGAAATCTGTGTCAGGTTTCTTCTATGGTGTAACGATTACGCAAATTGTGCCGAAAATATTCTGCAAGTTATTGTTCTATTGTCTCCATTATTCTAATAGCTATTAAGTTCTGGCAAATTAGACTTAACAATTTATAAGAAATGTTAATAATATATCATTTCGAGTAATATAAAACAGACCAGATACCTTTTGAAAAAATCTTTATCTTTCATTTTAAAAGATATAAGAAGAGTCATAAAAAATAAAATTGATTAGTAAATGTGTATCCCTAATTTCAATATTATAAAATACCTATTTCAAGTAGGTCAACAATCATTGTAATAATAATAAAGCAATTTATAGGAAGCTTTATGATTCTGATAGAAAACATAGGCTTTGTAATTTACTAAAAAGATCTTAAAAAGGAAAATACTTATCGTATTTGGCCTGCACTTTTATCTATACTGCTGCAATACATTAGACTAAGACTAGTCTAACACTAGACTAATCTAGACTAAGAAATCAGGTTTCTAGTCTCAAGCCAACACAATACGAGTTCATTGTGTATTCAATATCGCGTTAAAACTGATCTATTCATAGAATAATATAATTACATGGTAATACTTGCCTGATAGAACATTTTGTATTCCGTATCGCTGAGTCGTAACGCCACTTCTTCGGGGAAGTGTAGAATTGATTTTAGTGATGCAAATTCTTCATAACTGCTGTCATCTGTTGGGGTGCCTGAAATGTGATGCGATTTTAATAATGGCTTGTATATGGATGGGTAACCAACTTTTTTTCCGAGTTTGATGTTAGGGCTAGAGATTTTTATTGTTCTTTTTTGATCAAATTATAAGAAAACTGTCTTTATTTAAGTCATTGTTCTCATTTGCTCAGGATTTGATGGGCAATTCGCTGGCTCTTAAATATTTAGCTTAAGCCTCGGACGGATTATCGCTTAAATCAGGGTATAAATTTCTATGAATAATGTAAAACACTCAGTGCTTACTCAACAATCAAATTAAAAGATATTAATCTATGTTTATAAAAGACGATAAATAAATCATCAGCCTATCAGAGCCCACTACTGAGCTGCCTCTTTCTCACATGGAGAAGGTTTGAGCATTAATCACCACGCTCGCTCAAGACGGGTTGGTGATTTCAAACTTAGTTAATGATATTATAATTCCAGGTTTCCTCACGATGTTTTCCTTCATCAGTCAGTAGAGTTTAAATACTTTAAAGTACATATGACTCGGAAGAATCACATTGGTACTTGCCAGGATCGAACCCGCGCCCTCATGCATGAGAGGCGTACCTTTAACCACTACCACCACTGATTAATAAATAAGGGAAGACGAGAAAGAAATCTTTATATTTTTCATGAGAAATAATTCGTTTCACTGTCAATGCTAAAACGATATTTGAAAAATTCAAGCATTAGACAGTAACAGCTCCAAGTTCAACTTAAGTTATAATGAGTTTGAGGCTTTCGAGGTTGCCTTCGATTATAACTTTGATAGTACTAATAAACTAATTTTGTGATTCCGATGTCATTATTAGGGTACAAAATCATGGTACTTTAACATAACTATGGATTGAGTATTAAAATTTGGGATATAAATCGGTTTTTATAATTTTAAGGCGATTTGTTCCCATTCTGGAAGTATTTACTTAATATAATTCTAGTTAGGAAAAATCGGATTTTAATCCAACGGGTCGTACACACGTGAATTGGTTGATTATGTATCTTAGAATGTACCTTCACCAATACAACTAAAGACATACATATAATTATTATTTATCACACTCTGTCTAACCAGGGATTGAACCCGGGAATCATCTAATTCAGAGCTAATCTTTGTAACCACTACTCCAAATATTCATGCTCTGTCTAAAGTAATTTAAATGCACATATATTAAAGTCCTTGTAATCTACATATAACCAACATATATGTCTTATACAGTGTGTATGAAAAATTGTGTCAACCCCCTTAACTCGAAAATGGAACACAATCAAACAACTTACACTTACAAACTCTTCAATAAAAATAATAAAATTAAATATTAAATGATTATTATATGTAGAGTAACAAAATGTTTGTACCCACTTGTATAATACGATGACACTCAATGGTCATCACACCTGCTGCGCTACTAGTAACGAACTCAAACGTATATTCACATTATTTTGATTGTTTAATAAGTTTAACGATTCACTGATACCACTTTTTTTAAATATCTATACGTTTCACAATGTTACAAATCAATTTAAAATAACACTTAGTTAACTAAAAAGTATACGGCTAGAGAATTCACTGTCTTCATATTTTTCGTTTAAAATCCATCTGCAGAATGCCATTCTAGGCTCGAAGTCGGTAGGAATTAATAACTGTACTCGACTATAATGGTACGGGTGCTGGCCATTTTCCTTTAAAACTTTCCATACACGCGTATGGTTGACGCCGAGTTGATGTCCTATAGAGCGCGTGCTTTGCGTAGGGTCCTGTCGAAAAATATCTAATATGTGTTCCTCTAGATCGTCATTATCAACCCTCGGCCTTCCTTCATTAGCACGTTGTTATTCACGGCCATCGACATTTCCGAAATTCTACATGCGTATATGAAGACGCTAAAATGCCTTAAGTGACGCAATGGTGTTTCTTGGAGAAGCAAACAGTTCGTCATAAAGTCTACGCGATTCCGCATAATTACAATCACATTTCCCTAGACACATTAACATATTGAAATATTCCTGGTTGGAGTACATTTTATAAAACAACACAATTTTATAAAACCGTAACCGAAAAGTAATCCACTCGGAAGAAATTTACACGAGGAACTAACTAATAAATTATTTTCATTAAAAGGGCATATGGCATAGGCTCGAATAAAAAATATCGATAAATGAAATATCGATATTTAAAAAATCATAACAATAAATAAATATTTAATATTCATATTATTTTGATATAACAAACATTAATATTGTTTTTGATTGTTAAACACCATTTTTAACAGAAGTAGATTAACGATTTATCCTAATAATACAACGTAGTTAATTTACCAGAAGAATTTCCAAATAATAATATTGATTAATAATATTTATTACTAATAAAAGTTATTCTAAATGAGATTATTTTATTGTGAAAAGTATAACTATTTATAGCAATATTGAAAATATCGATAGAATATTTATCGATATACCTAAATTTAAACTTGCAAATTTCTATTCGAAAAACTAACATTAGACGAGTGGCGCCACGCCGGCGCCTGCGATGTGTGGCCGCGCGTGCGCCCGCAAGACTATACGACTCCTTAACCGTTTATGGGTCAAATGTTTGAAATATTTTTTTCAAATAATGTCGATTTAAAACTTATTTAGCCTATGCACTGTAACTGACCTCTTGCATATTTTTTTAAGTTAAACTATTTTTAATAATAAGCTTATACTTATATGTATACATGCCTTCAAGGGTTGACACAGTTTTTAGAACAACCTGTACATACAACTAAAATTATTTTTTATTTTATATTTTTTTAGTACGATTTATCAATTAGTTTTCTATGGACATGCGCAGATCGCACACTAGCTCTGTCCTTTTCACTCTCATAGAGGATCTATGAAAAGAATATATTAATACTGGCGGCCCTAACAAGGATAATGGGAAAATGTTAACGAATTATTGTATTGTCATTGGTCCTTGAGATATATGCAAAGATTCAAGTTAATCAGATGTTTAGAACATGGAAATCGTGCTCAAAGATTCCGTTACATACATACAGCCCAAGATAATATAAGCGTGTTAAAAAAACAAATAATCATAATTTTCATATGATTTCGTAACAAAAACCACATCCCTACTAATATTATAAATTAATAAAGTAACTCTGTCTGTCTGTTTGTTACGCTTTCACGCCTAAACAACTGAACTGATTTTAATGAAATTTGGTACAGAGATAGAGTTGACCTTGAGAAAGAACATAGAATAGTTTTTATCCCAGACTTTTGAAATTTTCTCTTGGAAACGCGATATAACCGAACTCCACGCGGGCGTAGGTGCGGTCGGAAAGCTAGTATCTACATAAATAATATTTGTATAATATACAGTAAATGTACTCAGAATTCTCAAGTTATATTTAACGAGCGATCTTTAGGATAATTCTCTTCAACATTAACCCGACCATTTTAATATTGTTTCAAATGTTTCATTCTGAAATTCATGTTTCTACGATTTTCTAAATTGAAAATATTATGCAAATGATTCATACGTTATGTTGGTTTTGAATATATTTGAGTTTTGCTACTCGTAGCATATAATTGGACGGAATTAAGTTTAGCGTACAGACTTCATTTAAGCATAAGTAACATTTTATTCATTCAACTTGCGTCCTTATAAGCTTTGACTTGTATCAAAATGGATAGAAGTTTTTAATAACAAAAAACACGATTATTATGTCTAGTATGGTTCAAATGAAATAAAAATGATGAATTAACATTAATTATGATTTCGATGGTCGGTGGATGCAATGAAACCAAAATTATTTGACTTAATTTAATTAAGAGTAAGTTACAACTAGGGTGTGACTATGTTGCACGAAGGTTGAACAAATAGTGACATTAATTTAATCAAATTCTTAAAAGAAATCTTATAATCTAAAAATATAAAACCAAAAACTGTCTTCACACGGAACTGCTGAGTCAAACCCGTGTAGAATAGCCGAGTTTACCCAGAAGCTAAGGCGTCCTCTGATTACACCGTATAAAGATAATTATATTTTAATTAAACGACCACTTATTACACCGTCACATAACACATTACATAATATTTCTCTCTTTTGTATATGAAAAATATTATTTTTGTGTTGTTTTGTTCGTCACTAAGATAATTAATAAACTTATTCGGAGACATTTGATCAAATTTTTTTTTCAGTAATAATTTTTAGTATATAATTGCTTCTGTTTTTGAAGCAGTTTCTGTTAAACTATTCCTTTGTTATTTTACGTCTTAATCTAGATCTTATTCTAGTTTATTGTTGAACATTTATGAGACGAAACCTCTTAGCATTCAATGGATTCACCGTGTGGGTGCCGGGTCCATCGCGTTGCAGGGAGAGGAGCTTCAACAGTGCCTGGGACTTGCGACCCAAGTGTAGGTTTAAGGGGCCCCTTAACTAACGCGCGTTATACGCTCACCTCCACTGTCCAAGTTCCTCTCCCTACCTAACCAAATTTGAAAAGAACCTACTAGGGCTGCCTTCGACGTACGTTCCAAGAATGAATTAATGTTAGTTCTATTATTTACCTTCTAAATCCTTGTCCGAAGCCAGCCCTGTCGAGCCTCCACTCGGGCCGGGTCTGGACCCGTCTCGCATTTCACTTCACTAGAAAATAATCATTGAAAACCAAACACTTCACTTGGCACAATTTCACACACATCTATACAGCACTCTCTCCATACTCAATATCGTTTTGAACTTATCAGGCAACTGTAACAAAGAAAAAAGAAATTTATTATTTGTATAGCTTGTATATCTATATGTAAAAGAAAGTCGTGTTAGTTACACTATTTATAACTCAAGAACAACTGTTAGAATATGGTTAAAAATTGGTGGAGAGATAGATTATAACAAAGAGACGGACGTAGGATATTTAATTCTGTTCGATTAAATTAATGTACCATTTCTCAACAAAGAAATCGAGAAAAACTTATTTAAAAATAACAGTACGAAAGTGTCTAGTATTATGTCTCTTCATTATAATAAAGCACTCGTATCATTAGTATTTTTAATATTTTTGAAGTGACTATCACACACATACATACATAAATTACAAAAAATTAATCTCAGCTATGCCTATTACATCAAGTATCTTTTAAAAATCAACTCAAATTTGATCTAATCTTCAAGAGTTTAGTCGAAACAAATATAAAACAAATAGATAATTCAATTTATCATAATAGTTACTAAAAAGAGGAGGAATTATTAGGAATTATATATAGGAACTATTAGGAATTAAAATGTTGTTTGTATTCAAATATAAAAGTCAGTGGTGGCCTAGTGGTTAAGGAGCCCGCCTCTCGTTGCCGAGGTCGCGGGTTCAAACCTGGTAAGTACCAATGTGATTTTTCGGAGTCATATGTACTTTCTGAGAGTATTTAGACATCACTGACATACGGTGGAGGAAATGATCGTGAGGAAACCTGGACTTATAGTTTCACAATTATAAGTTTGAAATCACCAAGCCGTCTTGAGCAAGCGTGGTGATTGATGCTCAAACCTTCTCCATGTGAGAAAGAGGCCTTGCTCAGCAGTGGGCTCTGATAGGATGATGATTCAAATATATATCAGTAACGTCTTTTTGTTCACTCGTCAATTCTAATAATACTCATGAGTAATGAGAAAAAGTATTTTCAAAAGAAAGTTATGTTTACCGCTGACAAAACATTCTGTTTCCAACCATACCTTATTATAATGATTTTTCTTTATTATAATTTATTTAATCTCAATTCTCGAGTCAGTGGTGGCCTAGTGGTTAAAAAGCCCGCCTCTCATGCACGAGGGCGCGGGTTCGATCCTGGCCCGGGCAAGTACCAATGTGATTTTTCCAACTCATATGTACTTTCTTAGAGTATTTAGACATCACTGATTAATGTTGATTCCCAAAGAGGGTTGATGGCATGCAGGCGGCGGCCAGTCGTAAAAACAAATAGCCAAAACTATTCAAAACATGTAAGGCAGACCCTGGCTAAAGCTGGGAAATTGCCAGGTAAAAGAAGAATTTATTTAATCTCAAGTATATTGAGGTTATTTTAAGTATTATATGTATATCAAAAATGATGATACAAATGATTTGGTAATTGGTTCAATTTATTATATAACTAGAAGTATGGTAATATGTTTAAACAAACTTAGTTGATTTAAATGAAACTAATATTTTTCGGATTATACTACGCGGGCTTCATTTTCGATAAAAACTACATAGGTACTCCCGACGTTTCGGTTACTTTACAACCGTGATCATTAAGACGAGATGTGAATGTCTGTCAGTTGGCCCTGTTATTTAAACTTAGTTGATGTATGTAGTGAAAAGCGTATTATATAAATAACAAAATAATTATTTGTTTGTGTGTTTTTATTGGTATATTAATCACTGTATTTATCGTAATACTTAGTTTTTCAGAAATACTGTAATGTACATACATACAATCAGTCACTAGTCAATGCTGATCCATATTTAAACTATAATAAGTCATTAATTGTTGCTCTGTTTAATATAAATGATAATGTATAAATATATTTTTATAACAATATTTTATTTATTATACATAAATTTGAATTAATTTTATATTTAAGGGATTTTCTCATTATTTTATTTGGTTTATTTTTTATAATTAAGTTGATTGTTTTTTATTTGTAGTGGTTCATGCTCGAACTGATACTAATATTATATTAGCTATTGTATTGTTAACCTTCTCCATGTGAGAAGAGGCCTTTGCTCAGCAGTGGGCTCTGATAGGATGATGATGATGATGATTGTATTTTTGTAGTAAAAGTAATCTTATCATATCCGAAGGAAAAAATCGCTTTAAGATTTTATTGTGTAATGCTTATTTTACACATTTAACAAATGATGACGATTGTATTTTTATAGTAAAAGTAATCTTATTATATGCGAAGGAAAGGAAAAATATCGTCTTTAACATTTTAGTGTTTAATGCCTATTTTGCAGTTTTAAAATAGATCGATTTTTCTGTATCATATCTTCAAACAGGTACCTTAAGTTGACCAGCATACTGTTAGCTTCAAAGTAATCGTCAAAATACAACGATACTATTCGTATTTACTAAATCAAGTATAAAATTGTAGTCAACTTGTTACTTACGCGCTAAAAATAAAGAAAAAAAAATTAACATCCCCGGGGCGACATGACTCCGCGGAACGAACACCAAGCCGTGTGAACCAGAAGATTCCTGATACACACAAGCTATGGAATGGTATTGCTATCCTAACATCGGGTCAATCATGTAGTCTTAGGTGTAGGTTATAAGTTTTAATATGTAATTCTTATTATAATATACAATTTCAAAAAGTATGTTTCGTAGTTTTCCTGGAACCTCCGGTTGATACCTTATATAATTAACTCACACTAAAGGTAAGTCATATATTAGTTAGACAGAAATAATTATGAAAAATAAACATTTGCTCCGACCTCACACATCAAAGTTATATAAAACTTCATGACAGCCCATACATCAATTTGTTATACGGTGATAAAAAAAATACTTTATACAACGAATATACGTAGTTGGTGGGTTGACTAGTAGCTGCCCGTGGTGATGCTCACGATTGTAATATATATAGGAGCCTGGTCGTGGTGGCCTAGAGGTTAAAGGTCCGCCTCTCATGCATGAGGCCGCGGCTTCGAAAACAATGTGAGTCATATATAGTATATAGTATTTAGACACCACTGACTGATGAAGAAAAACATCGTGAACGAACCTGGACTTATAATTTCATTAACTAAGCTTGAAATCGCCATCCCGTCTTGAGCAAGCGTGGTGATTAATGCTCTAACCTTCTCCATGTGAGAAGAGGCCTTTGCTGTGCAGTGGACTTTGATTGGATGATGATGATTATATAGAAGCAGAAATTTAATGTCCTTCTTATTATCAAATTTATTCCCCTAGTTTTTTTGTGATTATGACATTTAAAATATCCTTATAATATTTGTTTTAGTTAAAGACAAAAAGGAAAACTAACCAGGACATGAAAAAAAAAGTGTAAATAGAAATATAGTGTAAAATTTTAGTGGTTTTCTTTTAAATGAGTTTGGAGAGCACATGTAAAGGTGTAGTGTAAATATGTAGTTTGTAAGTAAGTATAGGTCAAATATAAATAGGATAAGTATATAAATAAGTAGTTTAGATATGTTAAGAAGAAACCTCTCATCATTCAATGTATTCACGGTGCGTGTGTCAGGTCCATCGTTGTAGTGAGAGGAGCTTCAACAGTGACTGGGACTTGTGACCCAGGTATAGGTGATTTATAATATAATTAGTACTAAAATTTTGTTTTAATTTTTAAGCATTGCAAAAACTATAAATGATAGAAAAAAATTGAAAATAGATTAGATATATAAGGATAAATTTATTTTATAGTGTCATTGTTGTAATGCAACATGCGATAGACGGACGAAAATACGATGACTTAGTGTAATTCCTACATTTATCTTCTATATATATAAAAATGGATTGCTGTTCCTTAGTCTCGCTAAAACTCGAGAACGGCTGAACCGATTTGGCTAATTTTAGTCTTGAAATACTCCTGGAAGTCCAGGGAAGGTTTAAAAGGTGAGAAAAATTGGAATGATTGCCGAAAAAACCCTAAAAACAGCCCTTCTCTATTTCTCATACAAACGATTTTTGACATTAGACTTGACAACTAACTACATAATATGTCAATCATTCTGTTCGATTGAAACAGTAGAAATTTAATAAATACCAATACCGGGTTATTGAAGACGGAATAGAGTTCGCCCGGTCAGCTATACCTATATTACTAATGACGAAATTAACGCGGACGAAGTCGCGGGCAAAAACTAGTATATTATAAAAATTGTTGTATTAAATCCGTAATACCTTTTCAGTTAAATATCCAATTTCACGTTACATGATCTGAAAGCTTATTTTATTTTCAGGCCAAGGGAAAGCATTGTGAAAGTAAAGGATTCTGAAGTGTGAACCCAAAAATAATAGGGATGGGATAATGTTTTCTAATATCGATAGTTTTTGATTATTTTCTCATTAATTATTGCATAAATTCAGAGAAAGTCGTATTGCAGTGAAATAAATGGAAGTGTATGAAAGAAAAGTAATATCTTTTATGCAATATAAATATTTCTTTCAGTTTTAAAGCAGAGCATTGTTCTTGTTTGAGTTCTTTGAATTTTTCGTAAGTCATTTAAGATTCACTCCGACAAACAAGTAAACACTATACATACAGCTATCCTCACTGAATTTTGTTTTATACATTGTCTTAAACGCTATAGTTTAAAAGCGATTTCTTTGATTACGTAAGTTTTTTATCAAAAACGAGTGACAAGAAGTGATAAGATACGTAACAATTATAATATCAGAAGTTTGAAAGTAGTAATTGGCGACGGATAAGTTGAGAAGTAATAGATTAGCGATGCATGGACATATTATGCGAAGGGATAAATGTCATATAACAAGAAGAATGTTAGGTATGAATGTAGAGGGATGTGTGGGTCGAGGTGGACCTAAGAAAAGATGGATGGATTGTGTGAAGGATGACGTGGATAAGACAGGAGTAACAGATGAGATGACGACTGATAGAAGAGACTGGAGAAGAAC